TTTCCAAGTGTCCGTTGAGAGCCATTCCTTGTCTTGTCTCTTCTTTCTTCCTAGAACCGTTGAACACGTTTCGTTGAGAATCGCCTTCAGAGACTTCCAATGTTCTTCCACGCATGATTCTTCAGTGATGTCGCGTAGTGTTTCCTGCTTTGCTCTGACAGTTGCAGTGAAAGTGTCTTTTGTGGTTGTGTCCTTGAGTAGTTGAGTGTGGAACTTGCATTGTGGCCTATCCCCAGCTATCCTCGAGACTTTTAGTTTCACCTTGAAAGTCCCTTGTTGTACTAGATAGTGGTCTGAACCCACATCTGCTCCTCTCCCCGACCTTGTATCCAGTAGGCTCCGTCTCCACTTTCTTGAAATTGAGATGAAGTCTATTTGGTTTTTGGTGTTTCCATCTGGTGAAATCCATGTCGTCTTGTTTTTGATGTGGCTTTGTTCTCTGAGCTGGATGGTTAGTTTGCGAAGCTTTCATCACCTTACTGGGTGACATCTTCAGCGCATACTTCAATTTGAAGTGAGCTTTTAGATTTCTCCACGAGTTTATTAATCATCTCTCCTGGTGACCTTGGACGTGATTGGTTGTTTGTGTGTGTTTTCACACCTTCTAGGTTACTTGTATTGGAACCGGTTGTTTCTTTGACTTGAATTTAGACCCTTTGTCTGTGAAGTTTCTTTCTTATTGGTTGATAAATTTTGTCTATGTCGATGTGTCTATTGATTGATGATCCACTGGAATGCCAAGCTTCTAAAAATTCTCTAGCATTCTTGTTATTTCCTTTGTCTAATATTTGAACGTTGTCCCAGTCGAATTGATGTCCGTAGTTGTCTGTGTGTAGTGAAATGAGGGAGTGGATATCATGTCTTTTGACGGCTAGCTTATGTTCGTGGATACGAAGACGAAGGGGACGTCCACTTTGGCCGATGTAGTGTTTTTCGCAGTTGTTACAGTTTATTTTGTAGATGATGTTGGTTTTATCTTCTTTCGCTGTTGAGTCTTTTGGTTGACATAGAATTGAGTGAAGCGACTTTGTTGGTTTGTGTACGACGTCAACTCCTAAAGGTTTGAAGAGTCTTGTAGTGATTTCTGAGATATCTTTTATATATGGTAAGGCAATTTTCTTTGTGTTCTCCTTGGTGGCTTTTGCTTTGGTAGGTTGGCTTGGGGGTATATGTCTCTTGATGAAATTCCGTGGATATCCATTCTTTTGGAAGACGTCCATGAGATACTTTTCTTCAATTTTTCTTAAGGTGGGAGTGCTGCAGTGAGTCCTTATACAGAAAACTAAAACACCTAACGGAATCTTGCGATCACTCCATCAACTCTGCTATCCAATTCCTAGAGAAAATCAGAGGCATCCAAATAGATGAACAAGAAATAATGGTATCATTCGACGTGACAGCATTATATACATCCATCGGACAAAACCTAGCAAAAGAAACCATGGAGCAACTACTTAGCAACGACGAACAACTGCCACAACAATCAAAAATGCAACACACAAGCTGGATGGAATGCATAAATCTATGCCTAACAACATACTTCCAATTCAACGGCCAAATATATGAACAAGTCAAAGGAACACCCATGGGATCGCCAATATCAGGTTTGATTGCAGAAGCAGTGATGCAAAGACTCGAAAATATAATTCTACCAAAGATCAAACCCAAGATTTGGATACGCTACGTCGACGACACATTTGTAATCATCAAAAGAAACGAATTAGATAAAACTCACAACTTAATAAACAACGTCTTCAACGACATCAAATTCACAAGAGAAGAGGAATCCGAGAACAAAATACCATTTTTGGACGTCTTAGTCAGGCGAACAACTACAGGAGAATTAGAAACTCAAGTTTATAGGAAATCAACTCACACAGACCAAATACTGAATTACAACAGCAACAACCCAATAACACACAAAAGGAATTGCATACAAACACTATTCAAGAGGGCAAGGACTCACTGCAGCACTCCCACCTTAAGAAAAATTGAAGAAAAGTATCTCATGGACGTCTTCCAAAAGAATGGATATCCACGGAATTTCATCAAGAGACATATACCCCCAAGCCAACCTACCAAAGCAAAAGCCACCAAGGAGAACACAAAGAAAATTGCCTTACCATATATAAAAGATATCTCAGAAATCACTACAAGACTCTTCAAACCTTTAGGAGTTGACGTCGTACACAAACCAACAAAGTCGCTTCACTCAATTCTATGTCAACCAAAAGACTCAACAGCGAAAGAAGATAAAACCAACATCATCTACAAAATAAACTGTAACAACTGCGAAAAACACTACATCGGCCAAAGTGGACGTCCCCTTCGTCTTCGTATCCACGAACATAAGCTAGCCGTCAAAAGACATGATATCCACTCCCTCATTTCACTACACACAGACAACTACGGACATCAATTCGACTGGGACAACGTTCAAATATTAGACAAAGGAAATAACAAGAATGCTAGAGAATTTTTAGAAGCTTGGCATTCCAGTGGATCATCAATCAATAGACACATCGACATAGACAAAATTTATCAACCAATAAGAAAGAAACTTCACAGACAAAGGGTCAAAATTCAAGTCAAAGAAACAACCGGTTCCAATACAAGTAACCTAGAAGGTGTGAAAACACACACAAACAACCAATCACGTCCAAGGTCACCAGGAGAGATGATTAATAAACTCGTGGAGAAATCTAAAAGCTCACTTCAAATTGAAGTATGCGCTGAAGATGTCACCCAGTAAGGTGATGAAAGCTTCGCAAACTAACCATCCAGCTCAGAGAACAAAACCACATCAAAATCATCCACCTGAGCTACAAATCTTCTCTATAATATCTATGTCGTCTTGTGTATATCCTTGTGTTTGAACACACTGCCACCAATCATCAAATCATTGAAGGCGCAGACGTCTGAGAAGAGTCCGTCATTGTCGTTCATTTCGCCGAGAGCCTCACGACACATGGTAAGTTCTCTTCCTGTATTGTCTCCTCCCAGCTTCGCTTTCATGTCGCCCATCAGGATTTTGATATCGCCATTTGGGACGTTGTCCATTATTGCTTGTAGTTGCCTGTAGAACACCTCCTTCTTCTCTTGTTCTGAGACGTTTGTAGGCGCATAGCATTGACATTGAATGACTGTAACTTTCCTGCCTTTTGAGTTGAACCTGGTTGTCATTATCCTGGAGGAGATTGGTTCCCACTGCATGAGAGCTTTGGCTGCTAATGGTGACATCATGATGGACACTCCCTCGGTGTGCTCATGGTTGTCCTCTGGGTGGCCGGAAAAGATTATTGTCTCTCCAGTAGGTAGTTGGCACCTTCCAGTTCCATCTGCTTTCGCAGATTCCCAACACTTCTATTCTGTACCTTCTCATTTCAACGGCTATTCGGGCAGCCTTTCCAGTTTCGTACATTGTACTAACATTCCAGTTACCCATCCTTACTTTTGCTTTCACCGAAAGAAGGCACATCGGCTGACTGGCTTCCCGAAGGCTAGCTTTCACCAGCCTGCGCCATTTCACTTCCCCGATTCCAGCGAAAAGTAAGGCTATTGCTTATGTTTTTAGAATTTTTAATATATTTATTCGTTGAAGTTTCTGTAGCGATTTGGTTGTTTTACAGGGGTAGAGTTGCTAGCACCACGCCCCAACCCTCCCTCTTTACCCGGGCTTGGGACCGGCGAGAAAACTAGTAAGCTAGTAGCCTAGCAAGCTAGTATCTGGCGAGGTTGGTAGGCTCTCTAGTAGAGCGCAAATGGGTTGGGAGAGCAAGGGTGACATGGAGATCATGCGAAAACTTGTAAACAGTCATGGAATCGGTTGAAAGTGATGACAGAACCGAATGCGACGGAGATGTGTCTTTGAAGCTCTATGTTCCGCCAGGAATGTCCGATTTAATAACAACCCCAAACAACACTGTAGTAATGGTTCACAAGCCACTGAACTTATATTTATAGCTGACATTTCCTTTCTGTAATGCTCGACCACTGTGTATATGACCATTACATTCCACACAGAGATCTTCACAATACACATTACATTAATATCGTCCTGACAGTTCAAAGATTCGTTAAGCGCCGAAAAATCCCTCGTGATAATGGTAATGGTCAAGGGGCCTAAAATCCTTATGATGTGACGCCTACGGTTCACGGGCTTAAGCAGTTGGCTTAAGACCAACAGGTTGGTGTACGGCTCCACCTACCTCAGCATGAACAAATGGGTAGAGTATAATCAGCGCTTACACAACGAGTGCAGCTCATAGCATATAAAATGAAAAATCTGTTCCGCATAATTGGGTCGAAACTAGAAAACAAACTTATGGTCCTCTACTACTTCTGAACGCTTTCACAATTATATTATGAATTCAACGAAACAGTGATTAAACAATAGTATCATTTTGATCCGTTCAAATGCGTTAACTTACTACTCGTACAACTAACTTGATTCTTCGAACACCCTGCACCGAAAGTAAAATTACCTTTAAGGATTTGGTGACTTAAAACGTTAAACAAAGCAAACACATTCAGAAGATTCAACATCAAATATTAGTGTTTATAAAAGCTACCAAGATTGAGCAGACGACCTCATCATAAAGGCCTGTGCTAATTCGCACATTATGAATTTTCTAAATTATTCTAAAAAATTGGACTGCTCTAAGGACTTGAGCATTTACCTTTTGTGTGAAGTTAAAACTTATCAGATGTTCAATCAAAACCTAGTCCTCGTGTTATACAGAAATCTATAAGTCTCTTCTTTATCTGCACCCCAATAATATCTTATTTTGTCATTATTGCTACAAATTCGAAACTTTAATAACAGTGAATAACATCCATTATCTCTTTTCTTTTCTCGACAACTGTGAAATTTATTTTGCTTACAGTGAACTCTCTTCTTCAGGATGTATAACTTGGCTTAACAGTTCTGCAGCAGTAAAATAATTTGTTGAGAAATATGGGCTAAGTAGGCTTACAGTAATGATGTTGAAAAGAAACACTGTGATAAAAACTGCTCCATTCAATAACTAACGAACTGTTAGGTATACATTTCTACCTCATATGGATGCTTACAGGAACTTTGCCTCAAATAAACTGAAACTTTTCACAAAAAAAGGATAGTTCAGCAAAAGAAAGGCGTACACATGTATTTAGTTACTAAATATAAGTAATTTCATTACTTGTCAAGATGAAACCCAAAAAAATATTCTGTAATTTACTATCAAAATAATTCTAGGACGAAGCTATCCAGTAAAAGTGGAAGAGAGAATACAATTAAATGCGATACCCAATCTTTGGTAAAAGTAATAAACTACAACACATTCGGAAAAAATGTTTAGACGTATCTAGACGTAAACTGTATTTTACTAACAAGCCATTAGAAAAAAATACAAATCGATCATCTTAACAGACTTATAATATTAATGAAAACGTGACTATTTTTAGCTCCTCTTACACATTTATTTGTCAATACAAAGAGAATATCGAACGAAATAGTGGAGTTCATCATAACCAAACTCTATCTGACATTTGGACAATTTCCCTACCTTCTAGGTCGTGCCAACTAACCACTGAAATGAAACTAATGCATCCTCTATAATAAATTTTACAAATTGTTTCATAGTGGTTGTTAATCTGATGGGTAGCACATAATTCACACCATTTCTAAATTGGCAATAATGCTAATAAATACACTTAACATTTTGCTTTTCTTCCTGTAAGGATTTAATAGGTTCAGAATAACTGAAGGTTCGTATGCAAGAATCACAAAATGTAAATGATTTAAGCCTGCGACGGTTCTCGAATAACGGACTAACAGCAACAGAAATTAGCTTTGTAGAATTCAAATAGTAGAAGAATGAACAACATAGAAAATTTGCATTTTCACTTGACTTTTGACTAGAAAGACACACCAGATGGAACGCAGTGTAGCGTAATACAATTATTTAAACGAAAAAATCACAAAATTTATATGATATAGATTTATGGAAATGAATCCGATTACTCTGCTAATATACTTTAAGTGGGAACTAAACAGACGTCACAATTAACAGTAACTACGTTAGGCTTCATTGAATTTAGAAAACCATAAACAACAAACAGGTAATGGAGAGAGAAGGCACAACCTTAGTATGAACAAGTGCAACTGATTAAGATGCTGATCCACATTTTGTAAGATGATACTACCATGATACGCTTTGGGACTGTGACATGCTCGGAAATCCAATCTATAAACCACTTAAAATGATTTAGAATTTCATTACTGACCTACCGAAAGAAAAGTCCACAAGGATAAGTACCACAGATGTCTTTTATGCTCGAAAATGAAGTTTGTTAATGAATCAAGACGCTACATTCAAATATCCCCCACAACTTGGCCAAATTTTGTAACACTTGAGTTAGAAACCCACTTAACTAGCTTAAAAAATATAAACGACATCAGCCTTCACGTATGATAGCAAATGGAAAACCAGAAACTAAAATGACGCAAAAGGTGTTGGACATCTTCATGTTGCTGTTTATTAATTTCACTTACGTTGTATAGTCGTTCCTGATAAGTTTCCACGTAACAATTTGAACTGATGTTATCTCTCAACAGCCGTGTCAAAACTGCAGCGGAAATTTAAGAATACTCAACATAACACTATCACCAACGTCTAATCAAATGACCTCTTAGAAAACGAATCATCAACAGTATATGACTTAAGTAGAGTCTTTTCTTTAAAGTGCTTACAAAACTTATTCGAAAAATAGTAAGACTTAACCAACAGGGAAAATTATGAATCTTACCACTAAGAAGAATGCAGAATAATAATAATCGCTTCAGATTGTAATGCTTATGCTGAAAACCACTGAGTAAGGCTACAAATCTGGAATAAACTTCAAGGGTCTCGTTAAGAAATGTTTTCAGTCAGAAGGCATAATGCTGCTTCTCCCGACTTCTTCTTGATGGCTATTCATAATCTACTGCATACCTAGAGCAGATACAGAAAACCTTAGTGGAAAAATACAGTCATATTGTATTTGCAATGATTTGCTATACACAGTGATTGGACTTTACTAAATTAGTATTTAAACAATTAATTTATCTTAAAAGTAATATAGCAGTCACAAGTATAAAGGACATAAAAGACAAAAAAGGCAAACATTCACTTGTCACAAAAAAGATATCACCGCACTTTTCGTGTATTAACAGACCATATCGAATAGAGTTTGTACCCGAAATATACAGCGAATCCATGCACCTGGACACACAGAGAGAAGAATATGTAGGCTAAAACAATCACAGGAAAATCGTAAAAATAGTGTTTGGCCACTCGAGTTTGATAGTAGTTCATTAGTTCGAATGCATTCATGAAACAACCGACCGTTACAGATCCAAGCCCGAAAACAACAGTTCCTGATAAAGAAATTCGCATCAGCCCCGCTCGGCTTCTTCCCAGTGAAATATATCCAAACAATGTTGGAATAATACTGCCAAAGCACCATACATATTCCCACAATTCGCCCTGAGGGAACGGCCACTACATTTTGAAATCATGATATATCAATTTCTATTACCTTTTCTACCATAAGCCTTGCTCTAAATCCCATTCTTAAACATAATTCGGGGAACAGTCTCGCAAACATGAGTACCCATAACATGAGGTGTAAGATATAAACGAATTTTATACGACGTTTCAACAAAGGGCTGGAAAAAGATGTTGACATGGAAGTAGAAACATACCTCTGGCTGTACTGAGCACAAACTCGTTCTCTATGACGGAAATCCGCACCGTCCGTGCCCTCCGGCCTGTGACCCACCGAGAAGCCATCGATTAAGTGACCTCAAAACTGAATTCCGCGCTTTCTTCGAACGTCCAATATCCAATAGATTCAGATTTATTGGCTGAGGATAGAAGGCTTGGGGCCTATGTTAATCCTTTTCTAGTAGATTTCTGTGGTTGTCCAAACCCTTCTTGAACGAATCAGTTGAGGTTTCAGGCACCACTTCTTCTGGGAGTCGGTTCCAAGAGTTTATGACTCGATGTGAGAACCAGTACTCAACAGCAATATGATTTCTCCTTGGCTGTTGAACTCTCTTGCTATGTCCTCTAAGGTGTTCCGACCTGGTAGAAAGGAAAAGAGAGGATTGGTCAGGCCCGTAGTCATTATTTAAAATTTCAAACATTGTGATTAAATCTCCTCTCTGCCTACGGCATGACAGGGAGAAGAGATTTAAACTGTCTAGTCTTTCCTCGTGTGGTAAGCTAGTGATGCCGTGAACCATACGTTTTGCCTTCTTTTGAACCCTTTCTAGTATGTGTGAGTCCCCTTTTAGACAAGGACTGGCGGCCTGGATGCAGTTTTCCAGTCTTGACCTCACCAGAGATGTATATAAGGAGGCGAGCATATCTCTGGTGATTCTAGTAAAGGCTCTGCGAATTGCCCATAAGGACCTGAAACACCGTGCGACAGTGCGCTGCAGTTTTTAAGTCGTGGCTAACTATGACACCTAAGTCCAAGGGAGTCTGAATTGATGGAATTGTTATTCGCTCTAGTTCGCAGGAGTTGATGATTTCTTGTCCGATGCCCAAGGTCGCACATTTTTCTACATTTATTGGAAGCATCCATTCTATGGACCACTCTGACAATTTGTTGAGGTCCTCTTGTAACGTGAACGTATCACTGTTGCCCTTCAGCCCTCCCCAAATTTTTAAGTCATTTGCATATAGGACCATAAGGGAGCCGTTGAGCAGAGGTAACTCATTGATATATGAAATAAATAGGAGAGGACCGAGTACGTGCCTCGTGGCACTCCCCTACGTACTGCTGTCCAAGAAGAGAGTTTTGAGTTGATCCTAACCCTCTGCCTCCTATCTATGAGAAATTCACTGAGCCAGTTTAGTAATCTGCCTTTGATACCAAGACTTTCCAATTTCATGAGTAGTTTTTTGTGAGGTACTTTATCAAAGGCTTTACTGAAGTCTATGAAGACGACGTCAGTGGGTCTTCTGTTGTCCTTTGATTTGACCCAGCTTTCTCTTGCAGTGAGGAGACATGACAGGCATGAGAAGTTCCTCCGGAAGCCATGCTGTGCTCTAGATAGCAAGCTGCTATTTTCCAGATATGCCATGATGCTTTTCTTGATAATTCTTTCCAGTGTCTTGATGAAAGTGCTGGTGAGGCTGATAGGCCTGTAATTTGAAGGGCTCTGTCTTGATCTTCCTTTGTGGATGGGGGTTACTATGGCGTCTCCCCAATCACGCGGTAACACTCCATTTAGGAGAGATAGCTTGAAGATCGTGATCAAGGGGCCGGCTATGTGGACTGATACCTCCTTGAGAAGCCTTGGATGAAGATTGTCAGGACCCATTGATTTCCCTGCATCTAGTTTCATTAGGCAGTTGAGCACGATGCCTTGGTCGATGTAGATATGATAGAGGAGATAGTCTATGTCAACGGAATCTATCCCATTTTCTTCTGATGCAGCCAGAGCTGATCCTGTAGGCACTGATGACTCCTGAGTGAAGACTTGGGAGAAGTAGTTTGCCATTGCTTCTGCTTTTTCTTGATCTTCTTCGATTGTATCATTGTCAGTAATCAGGTTTGGGACACCACTGGATGTTTCATTCCTGAAATTCATATACGGGAAAATTTTCTTAGGTTGTGCCTTTGCATTTTGAGCCAGGTGTGCCTCAAACTTCATCCCTGATTGGCGGATTTCTGCGATAGCTTTATTTCTAGCAGTGTTATATAATTTCCTGCTCTCCGAAGTCTCAAGTGTAGCAAACAGGTTCCAACATTTGTGTTTACGTCTGAGTAACTTGCGAATCTCTCGGTTTATCCAAGGGGGTAATGTTTCCGACCCGTTGGGACAGACCAAGGGATAAAAGGTTCAGTTACTTGGGCGTAAAGTTGTTTAAATTGGTTCCATGCCGCTTCTACTTGGGACTCTGGGTTGATGTACCAGTTCACTGAGTTGGCTGCTGAGACGATTGCATATATATCAGCTTTCCAAACGTTTAGTCGAGCTGGGGTTTTGGCCCTTGCTTCCGTCGCTGTGAACTTGAAAGTGAGCACAGCATGGTCGCTTCTTCCTAACGGAGGAACATATTGTATGAGATTTACATCCTCACCGTGGAAGAACACTTGGTCCAGAGTAGAGGAGGAGTGCTGTGTGTCATAGCGTGTGGGCTTAATGATATGTTGAACCAGGGCTAGCGATAAACTAGATTCCAGCAGTTCATGATCAAAGGAGTTGACTGAAGAAGGAGTTGTTAGGCTCGACCAGACAACTGTTGGGGCGTTGAAGTCGCCAACTGCGAGACTGCGACATTTCGAGGTCCAGGAGCCTAGCTTCTCTATTAGGAAGTTTTCTGCACTGCAGTTAGGAGTGCGCTACACAGCAAGGAGGTAAACGTCTTGGCCTATGCATTTAAGTCTGCAGCGTAGAAGTTCGCACGACTCACTTTCGTGAGCGAGTGCTTCGATACCACGCACCGTTAAGCATTTCTTGAGGTAGATGACTACGCCACCTCCTTCGCGGTTTAGTCGGTCCACCCTATGCACTTCGAAATGTAGCAGGTTAACTTCGTTGTCAGTGACATCGGGTATGAGCCATGTCTCTGTAATAAAAATTGCATCCGGGTTTCCGGAGTCTATCATGTTAAACGGCTCAGTCCGTTTATTTAACAGGCTGCGGGCGTTTGTTTAGCAGACTGCTAATTCAGACTGGTGCTTCCCCGGCCTACCCACAGAGTTTTCGGGATCATTCAACTGTGAACTCGGACAACCCGAAAACCCTTAATCTTAAGGTACTTCTCACCGTTCCGGCGTCGCCCATTTAATTCTAGTGCCGCAGCCTGTCTTTTGATACGGTCTGCTAGCCTTAAGTCAGCGCGGACATATATCCCTGATCCTTTAAGAATATGAGAGTTTGTCAGCCACGTCTTGTAAACAGTCAATCCCAGCTCTTGCTACGCTCGGGCTCACGCTGTCCCGTGAAGCTTCTCAGAAACGCTTAGTAATAATGGACGAAAAAACCAAAACACCAATTGTTGACTCGAGGATTCTTTATTGTTACACCAACACATAAATGACGTATGACTAAGGTCTGTGAACAAATATTACAATAATAAATCACAATATTACTTCTGACAGTTTACTGCCGACTTCTTTCTGAACAGCGACCGATGAGACGATGACTGTCGTATTGATGCCTCCGCGAAAATTGGGGAAGTTGGTTTTGAGCAAACAAGCATGAATTGATCGTTCAGTCTTCAACTACATTGACACTCCCCGTCAAAAAGGGATCCAACCCTTTTTTCCATCACGACCAATACACGTTGACTTACTCCTTTGTCTCACACCTCTGCTCACTGTCTCTATTATGCTTTTCTTGTACTTTCTTCTCTTGCCTTGCGTGCTACACGGAATGTGGCGACTTGAACTTCCGCACATTTGTGCAAAGTTCTATGTAGAAAACAGAACAGAACAGAGAACACGTTGACTTGGATGCCATTGTGAGAACCTGGGTCACACGGACAGAGCTGAAATGGAAAACAAACAGAAAAGCCAACACACCACAAGCATACTCACAGCACAATCTCACACATCGCTGACGACCTGCGAGTTCCAGTTAAAGGCATCCTCTTGCAACACAATCGCACTTGCTAGAATGACTCTTGCAGAATGCAACGTGACCATAGCACCAACTCACGATACTCTACGCACATCCACTTATCTACTCACTACCAATTATCACTGTAATCGCTTGTCACTCATTCTGCCTCAATTCTAGTAACGGTGACGTATGCGAGCCTCAGTCGTTTACACTCTTGCTCCCCGGCGTGTGGGACCGCAGCTAACAATTATCTCCGTATGCATTTCATTCTCAGCAATAGCCTCCCCGGCGTATACGACCCATCTGCTGTCTCTAACATCAATCAATTCATTCACGAATGTAGAAGACTCGAAACAACTTCAGAAGTAATCACGACGAAAATTTTAACAAAATTATGCAATAAAAACAAGGTACGAAAACAACGAGTAAACACAATGAATCAAAAAAACACCAATTGATATGACACACCACACGTATACACAAACAGTACAAATAACCTCGCGGATCATGTCTTGATGGAATTCCTTTGAAGAATTGCAGTACGCCTACAACCCTTCACAGGTTGACGATTGTAAGTTGTGGAATGTCCGGACACAAACAAGATTAACCAACAATTACAATAATTGGAACTCACACAATTATTTAACACAAACATATGTACAATCAACACATCAAATGTTGTGGATTCTGGCATGACAAACCACCCTTGAAGAACTGTAGGACTTACAGCAGTACGCCTACATTCCTTCTCAGGTTGATGATCCAAGTGGAAGTCGTCCGGACACAAACAGAATTACCAACAGCTAGATGACAGATGATATCAATTCAGTATATACAATATGAACATATGTACAAAATCACACACCAAGCACATTGGACTGCTCATTGATGCGCTACCCTTTGAAGAATTGTAGGACTTACAGCAGTACGCCTACAACCCTTCTCAGGTTGACGCCCTAGGTTGGAAAATCGTCGCAGAGTTCATTTGCTAACTTCCTTCTATCAGCTATATCCTCAAATCTGAACGGCAACACGCCCATGTCATTGTATCGTAGAATATAGATGACGAACAAACACACGACATATCTCATCAACCAAGTGTAGAAACAGAGTAATTTACACCAAAGATAATAACATTCAAATAGTAACTTGAAACTAGAAATGCCTTTATTCATGCAAGTCAATTTAACAATTACTCTCTCGTTTACACTTGGCTTATCCTCACTAAACTGACCATTGATATTCGTCCTTTCAAACGAACTGATA